AAGTTTCTCAAGAACCATTCGAGCCACAGAATTCGTTTTGGCATAGTTGGATAGAGAATTGAATGGGGGGCTCACAACCCCCATGACCCCCCCCCCTGGAACCGCCCTTGGATAATGTAGGCATTTGGGTCAATGTTTCGGCTTCTTGGAAGTTTCAGAGGAAAATCAATAGAATTCAGCCGCTGATATGCAAAGCGGATTTCGGAAGTTTCCAGCCCCAACCTCAGCAGGAGATTGATGGTTTGCCAGCAAATTTCCCTTAAAAACTGTCCTCGTTGGGCCGATAACAACTTCCAAGTAAAAAACGTTTTTTCAAAGCCTCCACATGTTGGCAAGACTCTGAGTGATTCAACAAGACATCGAATCTTTTCATGTCGACTTCGGCCCAAAATGATTGACACAACAGGTTCTGGATATCCGAAACCAGCCAACATTTGCGTTGCCAGAAAGGTCATGGATAAATTGTCGACTTCCAGCAGTTTAATTGCTCGGTATCATGTCGCAATGTCGGCCTTATTTGCATCTAACAAATGGCCTTTTACTTATTGCAGACAAGCCAGTGGAAAGGCCGTTTTTCAAAATTGCAGGAAATTGGCTCTTTGCCTTCCAGCTACAGCAATTGATTGATTTCGCTTAATTTTAATTAATTAAGCTCGTGCATTTATTTGAGAATTCATTAATATGAATCCAGCAGTAATGTGAGGCCACATGTTCAGGTAGCAGATGTGGATTCGAGCTTATGATGATTTTCAATCACAAGCCAGAAATCGGAGTCATTTCCGGCCGAAAATTACGATTTTATAGGGCGCCATAAATTTTATTCCTTAAATCGAGCCCTAAACGCATATTTTTTGTGTTGCTTACCTTTACGTATGGGTTGATTGGTTCGCCGTCCGCTTTGTACAAATCGTGGCATCTTATTACTGAAAAGATCACACTTTAGTACAATGTGTATTAGAAAATTGATTTAGCAAAAATGAGGAGGGATAGAAATATGCACTCGACTCCATTAGATCGGGCAAGGTCTGGTTTAGATACTAAGCGAGTTTGCGTTTGAAATTTGATTTGTGGATTTTTTGGCGAATTTTTCAATGATTTACTGTTCTTTGCAGAGCGCAGTTTTGCAAGTCCTTGATTAAAAATTGTTTTTTTCAAAATCCGAAATAAAAAAAAACCTTGCTTGACAGCATTAGATAGAGCAAAGTGTGCGCTATTTGTGCAGCGAGTTTGAATTTAAAATAACTATTGGGGATTTTTTGGCAAATTTTTAAATATGACTTGCTGTGTTTTTATGAGGGGCGCTCCTGCAATACTCTGAATAAAAATTAACACCGCAAACCCCAGGAAAGCTTATATGGCGAACTCAACTGCACCAGATAGAGCTAAATATTCTCTCTTTATATCCAGCGAGTTTCAAAGTGATATTTTGCTCGAGGATTTTTTTGCAAAATTTAACTCCGACTTACTGGTTTGACGCCTAGCGCGATTGAACAAGTACAGAATTAAAAAATTATTGCGCAAAGACCAAAAAAAGCAAGAAAGTGCAGTAAATGGCGTTAGATAGAGCACGGCGAGGTTGATATACTGAGCGAGTCTCTATATTTTTGGCAAACCTTGAAACTTTATTGCCTTTTGAATGGCGCAGATTTGCAAGCCGTGGAATAAAAATTGTTTACTGAAAAGCGAAAACAAACACAGAAAGTGAGCTTAGTTGAACTAAATAGAGTAAAGTACAGTTTATAAAATCTAGTGTGTTTTAATTCTAAACCACCTTTCAGATTTTTTTGGCAAATTTTTAAGCTTGATTTACTGCTTTTAGCTCGCGCGGATTTATAGGACGAGAATTAAAAAATTATTGTGCGAACATCAAAAGAGGTAAAACAATGCAGTCAATCGCACTAAATAGAAAAAAGGACCGTTTGTATACCAAGTGACTCTTGATTGGAAATCAGCTTTCGCAATTTTTTGGCAAATTTTTAAATCTGACGTGGTTTTTTA